GTTGACGTTTTTTAGTCAAACGGTTCGATCAATTTAGAAATTTGTAGTTTTGGAATATTGTCTTGTTGTTTACGTATTTACACCTGCTCGTTATATGGAACAAAGCGTTTGGCACTGAAAATGTGTCATACACGATCTAAAGTGAGAAGTCAATGACTAGAGTCTTCGGCTTTAACTATGCAGTGCAATTGCTAAGATCTGTATGACGAACTGAGTTGTGGCCGCTATAGGAATAATTTTTCTGGCCTTCAAATTGTTTACGACAATGGTCGTTTAAGTTGAGTCAAGATTACCATAAAGATCAAACATCACTTTCCTCGATAACAATAAGGAAAGTTTCCCGGAAATCAGTGGTCTTGAAAGAACAGTGGACTGACATCATCGAAATATCACTCCTTTTGTAAAATAGAGAACTGAAAAGTTTTAAGCTTATTCTCGCGAATTTCATCATGCAACAATCTACTGCTGCAGTATAAAACAATTTATAGGTCTTCTGCTGCCGCGTAGCTCGACCGTATCAATTTCATTTAATGCGAAAAAATATGAAATGGCATGTGCACATTTAGGTTATATATAAATTTACTGGCTAACGGGTCTCTTTTAGCAATATATAAAGTGCACGTTCGAAAGAAGTTTTTGAAATACCATTGATAGCTTCAGAATCCTTAAAATGAAACCGAAATTTAAACGTGTACGTTCAAGTAAAAATCTGAATTCACTTGCAAACTAAGGAAACATGACTTCCTTCAACCCACGTTCCTGGCGTAGATTAATTTAAATAACAAGTTAATCTTGTATATCATACCGTCACTTTTTCTGCCATTTTTTTCCTTCTGAAGTTCAGTCCAGGTTCAATCCAAGTTCGGCTTGTCAGCGCGGGTGGCGATCACGAAGTGATTTTTCACGCGCAGTTACAAACATTAAAAGTAACCTTACGATTTACATAAAAAAGAAAACTCTTTAGGACTGGTTGAAAGTGACAGGTTTTTCACGAAAGAGGACGCTTCCATGACACGCAACAATTGTAGCCTCTATTTCAACACAGCATTCTTAAAATTCAACGACTGGAATACAATTATTCTATACTTAAACTAAACCAGAGAAAAACAACACTAAAAGAGCAAGAGATTTCGTCATAAAAATTGCTCCCGACATAATTCGTGCTCGCGTTCGTGTTGTTTCGTGTTACCTCGTGATTTTCGGCGTGATGCGAGAAACGCAACAAAAGAAAAGAATAGAGTTCTGCACGCAACATTTCCCTTAGTTTCAATTGGGGAAATGATTTAACAATTACAAATGAATCGCACTCATAAAATGCATTTTTTCAAAGTTGATCATATGCAAGTGTATTTACTTCAGTAAAAGGTTTGTGCGTACCTATAACGACAGGCAATTTTAGTATCCTTTCCTTCGCATAGTTTCGGAGTAAAAAAAAAAACATAGAATTACAAAACAACTTGACATGTCAATGATCGTAATATCTATAGAAACAATTTTTTTTCCGAGTTGATGTCATTTCTACATTTAATTGTCATGACATGAATTAGCATAATGCCAATTCATTATTTATGGCGTTACAAGCGCGTGACAAATTCAACGTTAGATTTTAGCCGCTTGATCACGAAATATGAAGAGCAGCGAAAGTTGTTTGTGACTACAAACCTGAGCAAGCGCTATGCTGAATTAATTGCTACATCTAGTGCACGGTGCCTCTATTTTGCCAAAATACTTCAGGTACCTGGTACGACCTTCACCAACGGAAAATCATGTCAGAACGATGTCTTGACATAAATTACATTATAGCTGGTCATGACTGCTTTTAAAAGAAAATAATGGACTATCGTCAAGGCAGATAACACTGACAATGTTTTTCTTGCTCGCACAAACAGAACTACAGGCTTACGAGTGCTGCTACACTTCTGCAATATGTTAGCGCACGAAGGCGTCCGATCTTATGATTGGACAATAGAACCTGATGATAATTTGCCATGACTGAACAGCGTTTCTTCTCTCAGCGCCATTTTCTCGGCCTCCGTGGGAAACACAGGTGTGAGCTTTGAACGAGTGCGTGTAATCTTGTTGGGTTCTTCCTGGAGCCAACCGGGCTTTTCTCTGTTTAGAGAGTGCTCTATAATGATCAAGCTTTATCCATCTTCTCCAATGTCACGTACGGCAAGAGATATCAGATGTGATTTCCAGTCTCGGTTTATAGACTGACTGCGCTGTGGTCATGGCGAACAATTCTCTCGCCTCCAGGCATTAGGTCTCAACAATGAGATTTATCTTACTGTAAGGCCCGTCGCCGCCATTCATTCAATCTCACGCTCTCTCGATTAGAAGCCTGTCCTGGGCTTTTTCTATGGAAATTCACAGTCCCCCTGTTTGTTTGTCACCACGAGCTGAAATCTTTAAACCCACCAGAAGTTTTTATTTTCTTTTTTGTTGGCTGCGGTGTGAGGTCAGCAGTATCGGCATCCCTAAGAAACGTTAAACCAGAAAATTAATTGCAAGGAAAAACGTCGAGAAAAATTGAATACCGCTTAAAAACTAGAATCAGATAGTGATTAAAATTTTTCAGATCAAGCTCAAACAAAAATTCCACATTAATTAAAGGTTTCCATGCATTTCTCCTGATACAAGTGTAAGAATTAAGCTTTGCACGTACGGAGGTAAATCCCCCTGTTGATAATTTTCTTTTTTCTCATCACCCTTCTGCTTGACAGTGTATGGATATTGTAAGGAGACATTCTATGCTGATAGTTCTTGAGAAATACATTATTAAGCTATATATTTTATGATACCTGGATGCTGGTTTCTGTGGAATATATTTTCCAACTCCTAAGCGGTAAACCTTGGGTGCTTCTGCTGGTGTAGCAGCTGCTTTCTTTTTCCTGGCGGCTTCTTCCTGTTCACGTACACACAAGTAATAGGACATTTCAGATCAACTGTAACCTGAGCCTGCGGTGTTGCCTACGTAACATGGCGCGTCCTGTTGGCGCTACGATGACTACGTAGCAACATTCAGAGCGCTCGAGATCGCTCGTGACTGCTCGTACTCCCTTTAAGTTTGATTGAATAATAAGAACGGAAAAATCTTGCCGTGTTTCTACGAGATTCACTGACTAGGGTTTTGCAGAGATTGATAACAGGAACAAAGATGCGAAGGTACAAGGCTATTAATCCTATCTTTGCATTACAGTGATTAAACACACTTGCAGAAGTAATGGACCTCAGCTGACGAGGATAACCTGGGAGGTGATCGAGTACATTACCTGTCGCTTTTCCTCTTCTTCCTTTTTCTCGCGTTCTTCTTTAAGCTGAAAACAAATTTAAGTTGGTGTCAAACTCACAAAAAAGCAACACCCTACCAATGGAAAATGAAAGGATGATGACTCGTATCCGTCTCTGTCACGTTACTGACACGTTAGCTAGTCATCATGGACAATCATCTGGCTCTTCACTGTATTTGTATATAACTCGTGCGCATCGCTGTATCTTGTCACGGAATCTTTCTCCTCAGTGACGGAAGGATTGTGTGACGAGCTGTGCGAACGTAGGGGACTACATACAAATTCTCCGTACCTGTCGTTATACGTTACTTACAGCCTTAGATTAGAGAATATGTTAATATATCCAGAAAATATTGCCCATGTGATCGATTGTCTTATTCTCCTGACCTAGATGACTCTTTCTCATATAAATTTTTAAGAGAGTTAAGATGTCGATCACCGCTGGGTCAACTTACAACGGCGTCCACTTCATCAAAAGGATTCACGAACACCACAGCCTTGATCAACTTGATCGTTTCCTGATGGGAGACAGTTAAATAAAAAAAATATTCACCCAATTGAACATAAAATAGAATTTGACCCAGATTAAATGAAATCCAAAACGGGAATGACATCGGAACTCAACTGGTAAAAAGAGAGAAACAAATGACCAACAGCTATATCTTCATATTCTGCGATGTGAAGATCACTTCAGTTCGAATGAAACGTCAAAATCACAGTGTAAACTCCCTCGGTATAACATTTAATTTCTTTGCTTTTAACCCATTGTTTGATCTTCATTGTCAACCCCTTCATTCTTGGCCCACTCATAAGACAGCAGCGGAAAATTCCGGCCATTCTTTACCCACAGGGTGGTGGAGAGGGTTTACCCACAAGTGTTTATGAGAACTTTGTATAAGGAAAACTGGAGTCTCTAAAGTTTTCACTCACCGCGAAAATGGACTTAATTTAATGATCTGCCCCACAATTGAATAGATGTGTTCGATAAAGTAATACCTTAGGTCGATCTTTTTCGTCGGTTTCGACTTTTTCCATAGCGCTAAGTGTTTCAAGCCCACCAACTAACCTGGCAAAACAGACACAACGATAAAACTCCAGTCACGTCTGTGAACATGCGAACATTTATAAAAACCAAACAGCTACGACTATAGTACTACAAAATGTACAAGAGTCGCGCGTTATCTCTAGATTTACCCTACAGTACCTTGTACTGCGGAAATTCAGAAACTTTATCCAAAAGGAGGGAAAGGAAAATTACTTGAGAGTCGTTTA